ACTGACATTATTGGGATTCCTTTATGTCAGATACTGGATAAGATGCCTCATGTATGTAATCTAGAGGAATGAACTCTAGTTAACTTATTAGAAAGGTTATGCGACATTTGGATAGTCTGACCCTAGCGAGTAGCTTCATTATAAACCAAGACCCAGAGTTCCTTTCAGCCACAGATTATGAAACTGGGCTTTCATAAAAGTTCTTTGTGACTGGAAAAACTCAAGTTAGTACAGACCCTGTTTAATCTGTCACCTGAGCTGCTCTTAGAACATCCAAAATAGCCCACCATGACAATAGGCAATAGGGTGCATACTCAATTGAGACATTTTATCAAAGAATGCCCACATGGCTGTTACGGACTGCAAGAGAATAGAATCTGTGTCTTAGGTTTCTTAACAATTAGCTGAGTTACTATGGTTCTGGTACCACATACAGGAAAAGATACTCTTGGAGAATTAGGAGTAGGATTAACAGAGAAAATTGTTTCAGGTTTCAGCTTGGCATCTATAGATACATATGTGCATGCACTGGCATGTTAGTAGTGCACAAAATTCACTACCACAAGCACAAGACAAGGTCAGTGTGGTTCAAATCCCATATGTTATCCAGGACTCAATGTAGCCTCTTAAATATTTTAAATGTAAATATTTTAATTTCAGTTTATGACTCTATCCAACCCTTTGAAATACACACTCCCATTTTACTACTTCTCTCAACAATCCATCATCTCTGTTAGTACTCTCTCTTGTTGGAGGAGGAATTGGGGTGTGGGCTGGGGAGGATGGAAGGCGGGGCGGAGGAGGGAAGAGAGAGAGATCTGTGATTGGTATGTAAAACCAATAAAAAAATCCTTAATAAAAAAATAAATTTGAAAAAGGAAAAAATAAAAAAGTTCCTGTGACATTTCAATTTCTATAGTTAGTCATAAGCATACATATGAAGGTGAGTAGGTAAGTTATGAACAATTTCAAGTTATGGAATGGAAAACTAAGAAGAAACAGATGCTGAGTACAGATGTGGGCACGTATGTATGAATTCTAAGTAATGACAACCCTTTTTTAATAACTACATCCTTAGGAAGAAGGTGAATAGCAACTACACTAAAACATCCTCCATTCAAAATTGTGGAGCCCCAAATGTTTCAGATGTCATATTTTCTTAGATTTTTAAATATTAACATGCATAATGAGATATTGTATCTCATTTTTGTATGAGACAAAAGCCAAAACAAAAAGAGAATCATTTGTGCTTCATAGACATGTTATACAAGTAAGATGAAGGTATAAAATTTGAAGTGCACACACACTTGGATGCTGACATTGGTAAAGAACTGTGCATGCATTTCTAGCATTGTCTGTTAATTCTCTTCTCCATTAATGAAATGGCGACATGGGGGAAATAAATATAAATTAACAGAAAATTAATACTATATTAGTTGTTGTTGTAGAACTCTACTCCTTATTAGAGTCCTAAACATCAGCAAAAGCATGAAAGACATTTTTAAATCTTCCTAATCTACCTGTTATTTAGCAGAAATATTTTCTAGTAATAAAACTAGCAGAGAAAATAATACCTCAGCAAATAGGCTAAAATAGCACAGGTTAGTATATTGAAAGGTAATCAAGCTAGTCATTATTATATGTAATGTGTATATTCTACATATGTGAATTATATTATGACTGTATTTATATACAGATATTCTTTTTAGGCATCTTATGTATAGCTCCTAGGTGCATAACAAAGTGAATTTCATCTCTATATTTAAATATTTGACCCTTTTTTGAATCAGAAGAAAGAACTACACACTGATTCTGGTTTTAACTGGATTTCTCTTTTATTCCTTTACCTTGGAGGTCAAGACATCTTTATGACAGAAGAACAGAAGAAATACTACAATGCAATGAAGAAGCTGGGATCCAAGAAACCACAAAAACCAATTCCCAGGCCAGGGGTAAATATGTAGTGTGTGTGTGTGTGTGTGTGTGTGTGTGTGTGCAATATCCTCCTAACTGTGTTCATTTCCTAAATATTTTAAATTTGTGATGTATTTTTACTCATTCTATAAAATTTATACAATTTTTTTGTACATTAAATTTTGATTTTTTTCCCTCCCCCAACTCCTTCCAGATCCTTTGTATAGTTTAATATGCAGATAATATTTGGGAATTTTATTCTACATTCTGTATCATTTTGGGTTTATTTTGCAGAACAAATTCCAAGGATGTATATTTGACTTAGTGACAAATCAAGCCTTTGATATCACCATCATGGTGCTTATTTGTCTCAACATGGTAACCATGATGGTAGAAAAAGAAGGGCAAAGTGATTACATGACAGATGTTTTGTATTGGATCAACGTGGTCTTCATTATCCTGTTCACTGGGGAGTGCGTGCTGAAGCTGATCTCCCTCAGACATTACTACTTCACTGTGGGATGGAACATTTTTGATTTTGTGGTAGTGATCCTCTCCATTGTAGGTAAGGCCACTTATTAATCACATTTTCTTTGTGGATAAAGTCCGCTCTGCTCAGAGAGGTGTGTGCATGCTTGAGATCTGTTTTGCTTTCAAGTGAATGATTAGCATGAAAGAAGGGAGGAGATTTAGAAAGAAAGCAAATTCTTTCACGTCAGAATTCCCCAGTTCAAGCCCAAGCCCTGAAAGCCAAATGTTGGGTCTGTCAGAAAAAATTCCTGTTGAGGTTAGTCCCCAGGACTGCCTCCAGGAGCCTTCGAATGGACATCTGTGCATAGATGTGTCCTGGAAGCTAATGAAGAATGCACTAGTAATTCTAGTTTTAGCAGGTTCATGGATACCGGCATATTTTTGGCTGTTAAATTCATCCTGAACTTAAAATGTCAAAAACTGCCATTTTCATCTCTTAAAACTTGGCCAGTCCATAACATTCAGTAATTTCTCAGCTAGCAGCTCGTGTCTGTGTAACACAGATTTTATATACCTTCTTCTTTCACTGTTATCTCTGTCCTGTTCTCTGTCTCCACATGCTAATATTTTAAAGTTATATTTCATTTTTAGCATTGAAATTTCTTGATAGAAGAAATTGTGGAATTAAACTCATAGCTGATCAAACAGGGCCATAAAAGCTAAAGGTTGTATAATACAAAACCACAATAAAGAATGCCAAATGACTTAAAATCAATTTTTAAATAATATTGTCACTAGATGTGATAAACCAAAGCACATTAAAACTCAGGTAGTGATGTCATAGTGGCAATGTAAAATATAATGATGGAAACTACCATTCAGTCAGGACAGTAAAAGAACATCCTTCTATCACAAAGTTTTAGCAATGCTAACCAGGGGATTTAAATTAAAAACAAACAAACAAACAAAAAACAAGGAGGTGCATGCATTAAAACCCAGGAGTAATTTATCTTTATCCTCATCATATCATGAGACTTCTAAAATGAAAGAGTTGTCTGTGGCCATGTATATCTATCTGCAATCCAATCATTAAAAAGGCTTTCCCAAGAGTACATGGAGTTCCAGACCATCCTAGGCTACCTAGTCAGACAGTCGAAAAACTTCTTTTTAACTCAAAACTTTTTCTTTTTTTTTTTTCTCCCGCTGGCCTCATAGAGATCTGCCTGGCTCTGCTCCCCGAGTGCTGGGATTAAAGGCATGAGCCACCACTGCCTGGCTCAAAACTTTTAAAAAATTAATTGGAGTTCAGAAAAGTCAAATTATAAATTGCACTTAACCAACATTGGTAATTTTCTTAAATGTTGACCAAAAATAGAAAATATATTGGACAAAATTTTAATTCAAAATTATAATAAAAACGATTAAAAATCTAGTAACAAATTTACTGTATATTGTCAAAGACTTCTATGAAAAAAGTAAAGGGCAAAAAGACTGAAATATTTGAAGGCTTGTCTTATGCTTGGTTACAAAGGTTGTCGTTGAGATTAGGACTTTCTGAAGACTTTCACTTAGTTTTACTAATATGGGTGTGTATCTGGGTGAGTGTATGTCATGTGTGTGTGTGGGTACTCACATAAAACAGAAGAGGGTTTCAGACCCCCTAGAGCTGAAGTTACAGGCAGTTGTGAGCCACCAGGTATTGGTGCTGGGAACCAAACTCACGTCCTCTGCAAGAGAAGCAAGCGCCCTTAACCTCCGAGCCTCCGCTCCAGCCCCAGTGACTAGTTTTATGAAATTAATTTGTAATTTCCATAAAATTATCAATGAAACGTTTCATATGGTGGTAGTTACAGATTGAAAACACAGCCATGATAATAGCTGCAACCGTGTTTAAAAATTAAAATTCGAAGGATTCAGAGAAACAAAACACTAGACTTTAATATACAATTAGTAATTTACTCAGTTTCATGGCCTTAAAAGTCAAAGGATAGTATTAAAATGTGGATCAGCTGGAGTGGTGCACACCTGTATTCACAGTGCTAGGGAGGCCCAGGCAGGCAGATCTCTGAGTTTCAGGCCAACCTCCTCTACATATCAATTTCCAGTCTAGCCAAGGGCAAGGTTTACATGGTCAGACCCGATCTTTAAAAAAAAGGTTAGAAAATTTGTGAAATTAAAAAAATATATATTTTATTATTCCCCCCCTCTTTTTTTCCCTCTTGTTTTTTATTAGTAGGATCTAGTTTATGGATGGCTCTAGCTCTGAGCTCCATCTTGAGTCCTGGAAATAGACTTTGGAGCATGAACATAGGTAATTCTTTCTGTGCACGACACAACTTTAGTCTCAAGAGAATGAAAAACATTTTACAGACAAAAATAAAGAGGGATGTGTCCATGAATTTAGTTAAGGTGGAAAAAATGTCACAAGCAGTTATTTGCTAAAATATTGAATTCAAGATAGAACAGCAATTCTGAATTTGTAAGACAGCAGATGAAGCAATTTAGATTCATGATACTGTGCCACATGGATATCTAAACTTTTCCTTTTTTTTTCTCCCCTCCCACATAGGAATGTTTCTGGCCGAAATGATAGAGAAGTACTTTGTGTCCCCTACCCTGTTCCGAGTCATCCGCTTGGCCAGGATTGGCCGAATCCTACGCTTGATCAAAGGCGCCAAGGGGATCCGCACGCTGCTGTTTGCGCTGATGATGTCCCTTCCTGCGCTGTTCAACATCGGCCTCCTGCTTTTCCTGGTCATGTTCATCTATGCCATCTTTGGGATGTCCAACTTTGCCTACGTTAAAAAGGAAGCTGGAATTAATGACATGTTCAACTTTGAGACCTTCGGCAACAGCATGATCTGCCTGTTTCAAATCACCACCTCAGCAGGCTGGGACGGACTGCTGGCACCTATCCTCAACAGTGCACCTCCTGACTGTGACCCGAAAAAAATTCATCCAGGAAGTCCAGTGGAAGGAGACTGTGGGAACCCGTCTGTGGGGATTTTCTACTTTGTCAGCTACATCATCATATCCTTCCTGGTTGTGGTGAACATGTACATCGCCGTCATCCTGGAGAACTTCAGCGTTGCCACTGAAGAAAGTACTGAACCCCTGAGTGAGGACGACTTTGAGATGTTCTATGAGGTCTGGGAGAAGTTCGACCCTGATGCCACTCAGTTCATAGAGTTCTGCAAGCTCTCTGACTTTGCGGCTGCCCTGGACCCTCCCCTTCTCATCGCAAAGCCCAACAAAGTCCAGCTCATTGCCATGGATCTGCCCATGGTGAGCGGAGACCGCATCCACTGCCTGGACATCTTATTTGCCTTTACGAAGCGGGTTTTGGGTGAGGGCGGAGAGATGGATTCTCTTCGTTCACAGATGGAAGAAAGGTTTATGTCTGCAAATCCTTCCAAAGTGTCCTACGAACCCATTACAACCACACTAAAACGAAAACAAGAGGATGTATCTGCTACTATCATTCAGCGTGCTTACAGAAGGTACCGCCTTCGGCAAAACGTCAAAAATATATCAAGTATATACATAAAAGATGGAGACAGGGATGACGACTTGCCCAATAAAGAAGATATAGTTTTTGATAATGTTAACGAGAACTCAAGTCCAGAAAAGACAGATGCAACTGCCTCGGCCGTCTCTCCACCTTCGTACGACAGTGTCACAAAGCCAGATCAAGAGAAATATGAAACAGACAAAACAGAAAAGGAAGACAAGGGGAAGGATGGGAAAGAGAGAGGGGAATAGAGCTTCAGTTTTGCTCTACTGTTTACAGCCTGTGAAGGTGACTCACTGGTGTTAATAAGACTCCTTTACGGAGGTCTATGCCAAACCCTTTTTATCAAAATATTCTCAAAAGCCGCACAGTCACTAGTTTTGATCCAACGAGCAGAGGGCAGCATTGGCACATGGCTATTTTTGCATTGGTAAATGATTCTGTAAGAATTGTGACTGTAACTCTGTAGGGAATAATCATTACTGCAATCAAGGGTGATTTAATCATTCAGCAAATCGGAAAACCATACAGAAAGAACATTTTCTCATTTGCCTCCATATCTTTTCTCTGGATTCTAATTAAACATGTACCCCATCTAAATATAGAAATTCAGGTAGACATGCATCCATGCACACAGACACAAATACAAACGGGATTAGCTACGGTTTGGAATTCAGTGCAATAAAATTCCTTATAAAAGTAATGGGAATTAGTAATGAAGGTTTTGTCAAAACATCTTATTATTAGGGAGTCAGAATCTTTATCCATAAACAGAGTTCAGTTTCTGTTTTGAGGTGCTCAAACTTATCCTACATTGCATCAAAAGCAGTTTATAGGTATCTATAAAATGTCATGGGATTGAAAACATATGTAGGCTACTTATTTAAGAAATCACTTGCATTTGCATAGATTAGCATTCACCTTGATTTATGGACATCTTTGAAATTTTGTGCTCACATGATTCTCCCACCTCAGTTGCTTAGCTCAAACTTCAAGTTCATTGAAAACAGCTAGCCTGCTTTTCTTATGCCCCACTTTGTATGTACAATAACCACAGACCTTGAAAAATTATTTGAAATATATATATATATCACGTTTCTCAATATAAAAACGTGAAGACTATTAACAGAAAATTAGTTTACAAAGTTCCATTTACTCACATTTATTCAATCCGACTTGCCCAATAAAATAGCTAATGACTCAACTCTTAACACCAGTTGCCACATTTATCTTCTCATGCCGTGTTGGTTTGTCATACTTTGTCACTAAGCAAATTTAATGTTTCCTTTTAATGAAACATACCCTAAAATGCAATTAGCTACTTGATACCCTAGCACTTGTTTGAGCAGATGACCAGAGCACAGTATGTACTGCATCTCTTAAATACAAGCCTTAATGTATTTGGCAGCTTCCCAAGGTACAAGGAACACCAGGCTTTTAATACCTGCCCACCAGGTGTTTAGTATGAATGAAATGGCATTCAAAGAGTGAGCCTCATCAGCTTGCTTGATTACCACTAACTTCCCTAATTGGGGAAGTAATCCTCTGAACTTCTATTATTTCACCTGTAAATAAAATAAATGTCACTTCCCCCTTAATATTCTAATCTGTGGTGTGAAATATATTTTTCATTTATCAGTAAAATAGCCTGGGCTCATCATTTTAAAAGCACATTTCATTTAGAGCTGGCTTTAACTACCCTACCAAGGATTAGAAATCCACTTTATGCTTTTAAAGCACTTGGTAAACATAAGTGGCTCTGACACATTCTCTCATAATTTTATTCTGACAAGTTGAAACAATTCTTCCAACACATTATCTTTGCAGAGAAAAAAAAAGCTGAGCTAGATAAGTAAAAGGAGGTTTTATTTAGAAGATTCTGAGGGAACTTTGAAGTAAATGCATAAAACACACTTTATCAATTGGCTTTTGAAATTCAAAAGTAACACAAAAGTATTGATATAATAAGTAATCAAAATACATATTCTTTATTTCTTGCCCAATTAAAAAGAAAAGTTTAAACATCCCTAGAGAGATGAAGAAACATATATAGAGAGTGAGAAATAAAAAAGGGGAGAGAAGAAACAAAGCTATAAGAAGAATAAAAACAAAGATATAATTTTACAGAACTTGCTCAGAATGTTTTCCCATTGTGGTGCATTATATAACATCTCATAGGAGACTCTTATTGCACACATTTGTCTAAAGGACCTAAGAAATTAAGTGTAAGGCTGACAGTTCTCTACATCTATGCTTAATCATTTAACTTAGTTTGGTGGGGGCTACTTTTTAAGTTCTCTGGAAGTTTCCAAACAGTACTCAGCTAGACAGAGCACTGTGTATCTTTTAAGCTGATAGGGTTTGGACAGCTTAACTGGGGAGCCACACAAAACCTTCCATTTGTAACAAGTCTTAATGCATTCAATTAAGAAATTAGTTTTCTTTAACAAATGAAATCCGTTTTTCATTATTTTACACCCATTAAAAATACAACTCCATTGTGAATATTTTTATGGATATAGTATATGCAGATGCTTGGTATGGATTATTAGTGATTTGCTATTAATATTTTTACAGTGGCTGATTTTTATGTAAATTTAAAACATTGGCAACTGTTTTACTCAACACACTTTTTTTTAGCATTTCAAAAAAGAACAGTTATAAAGTTTCTCTTTTTTCTACTTCATGCTGAACGTATTTTATTCTGAACTTATAATTTTAAGTGTAATATTAAGTTGTATACATACATGGGTGTTTAGCCTCAAAATTACTACTTATGACATTATATCAATTAAAAATATTATATATATTTTTTGAGACAGGGCTTCTCTCTGTAGCCCTGGAGGTCCTGGAACTCACTCTGTAGACCAGGCTGGCCTTGAACTCACAGAGACCTCCCTGCTTCTGCCTCCAGAGTGCTGGGATTAAAAGGTGTGCACCACCACCACCTGACCTAAAAATGGTATTTGACACTAGGATAAGATTTAGTAAAAGCTTAAAGCAAGCTTACACCCCTTTTCATTTTGGCTAGTGTTTGTACTAATTATTAAACATCATCCCACTGAAGCTACTAGTCATATAGTTACTGAAATTATTTTACCTATTGGCATAGAATGCTGACTACCCAGAAAATATAAATTAGCATTAAATAAAAGAAAGCATACATGAACACAAATCCATACACATAATTTTGGTGAAAACAAGAGAATCTTGTTTTACTATTTTGTCTCTTCTCATGGTAAACAGTAAAAGAAATCTATGAGCTATTTCTAAATTCAAATTGTCACATTTTGCAATCGTGAATGTTTAGCATGATTTTGTAGAATTTTGATAGTTTTATAAGAGTGAAAATTAAATGCATATGTAAATAAAGCAGTCCATACTAGCAAATTCGTCAAATGTTAATGAAAGTAATGAAAAGGGGGCAGTTAAATAAGGATGGTCAGTAATTGACCTGGTTTAAATCTTATGTTTAGAGCCATCAGTTTTTAAGAATATGTTTTCATTAGTTTCCTGAGAAAAACAATCAAGAATTGCTCCCAGCAAATGAATAAGTAGCCATGAATATATGAATGCTGTTTACAAAATCCATAGACACATGAATGCTCAAAATGTTTGAGTTTGTCAAAAATTACATTGTAGTTATACTTGAGACTTAGAAAAGGTTAATAGAATCTAAAATAAAAGTCACTAAAAAAATCATGTCTTATTTATTTTTTGTCTCAGCACTTTTATGGGTAAATTCACGGCATCCCAATGATGGCTAGTATTTTTTCCTTTGTTTCTTTTTCTCTCCCTTCTTTGTCTTTGCAACATAAACAGCTTCAGTGTAATGACTCCCGGATGCAAAAGTTGAAGAAGAGAAGCGTGGAGTTCCAAAGTAATTTGTTCAGTTCCACAAGGGGATTTGTATAGGGGCAAGAAATTGAGACAGGAGTGACCAAAGGCAAACATTTAGCCACACAACACTAACATATGCTTATTTTCCTTCTTGTACCGACATTGGGAAGCTGCAGGCATGCATGACAAGTAATAGTGTGAGTACCAGGGTCCGAGCCATATATGGATTCCAAACAAGCCGTGACCCTCTGAATTTCCTGAATGCATTAACCTATGTGGACCTCGGTTCTCACTGAAAATATGAGAGGGTCCTACTTCATACATAGTAAGAAGAATAGGATAAGACAATTCCCATAAAGCAATTAAAGCTAGTATTGACAACATAGAATCAAGAACTGGTCTCAATAGTGGTACTAGGGTGGCACTCCATGTGATACTGAGGAT